ATAATAGACGTGAATAAAATATTACCTTAAAAAAGAAGCAATTCAATGTTTTATGCCAGTGTTAAAATACATGAAATAACCCTGTGTCCTGACTTTGTGGCCACCCTATTTAAAGTGGGATAAAGACGCAGCACTACAATTGCTCACTCACGCCACTGCTGGCGGAATGGCGTCCAATGGAGGGGAGCCCTTTGCAAACTCCTCTAGAGGGCATTCAGCCCAAACTTCCACGCTTGCCAGACGTGTTGGAAGAGAATAACCACACTTTACCCCACCACACATTTATAACGTAGTCCTCTGCTTCTATACTTCTGCGTTTATTCTCCTGACCTTGACTGTCCTGGGCTGACCGGCATGGTGAAGTATGGTCAAATAACCCTCACGACCCGCATGGCCTAGGGATGTCTTCATCCAGCAGTGGATTGACAATGGGCTGTGTATACACATGTAATGCCATTGCCATTTGGTACTGTCATTAGTGGGTGCTGTAATAATGCAATTTGTAACGCGGCGCAGCGCATACTTTCAGACACAAATTACCGCAGAAGGACTTGGCATCCAGAGGTCATCGGTTCAATTCCATCTCCCGGCGCGGCAGTTGAACTCACGGTGAAAGTTTCTTAAAATCTGCCTCTGTCCACTCAGCAGTATCAATGGGATCACCACAGTCAGATCGAATGGTAGGCCGCATGTGGTGGGGTAAAGAATCAGATTCAGAATCTTTATTTAGACTGGAAGAATCCGATAAGTGAAGAAGCTCTTTTTTTAGAGATATCCAGTAGGGGCAGGTCAGAAAGTTACAACAGAAACAAATTTAAAATAGAAATGAGTACAACGTATCGAAAAGCTAAGCAAGTTACTCAATAAAAATAAAGTATACAAGTGTAATTGCATCAGTGTACATCAATTCGTGCCGAAATTTCAACACCAAATGCAATCTTGTGAAAGGCAGCAATACAAAAAACAATCCCAGACCACATCAAGACAACACACAGACCCTAAATAAAATTGCACATTAAATTTTAACTATCGATGCATGGGTAAGGTTCAAAGTCACAAATCACAAATGTGCCTGTATGCAGCACTAATATTCTGCTTCAGAATATTTTTAAGGAAGATTTATGATGTTAAGGGATGAAACAAGGCTGTTCCAAAAGTTGGTACTGCAGCGGCAAAGGCTTTGTCACCAATTCCAATTCTTGTTCTGAGATAGTTAAAAGGAAATTAGATGGACGTCTTAGATTTCTTGGATTTGACAATAAGGTTAATGAATTACAGTAGCCGAGTATAGTAAAGCACAGATTTTCCAATGAGGATTTTATGAACAGAGCCCAATGTAGATTTCTTCTTGCATTAAGTGATGTGAGATTTGATTTTAAATAGAGGTCATAATGGAGGGCCCTTTGCGAATCGAAGAGCAGAATGATAAAGCGGGTTTAGTCTGTTTAATTATTAATAAGTAGCTGATCTGCTGATCTGTAAGTAGCGACATTAGTAAAAACAATTATAGAATGAACAATGTGGAGGCGCAATCGAATGGGAAAACAATGTGTTTTACAAGATAAAAACCCTATTTTGATGTGATTTTTTTGAGGTGTGATCCATATGGGGTTGGAATGTAAGTTTTGAATCAATCAGTAAACCAAAGTGTTTGAAGTACGTTTGTTCAATGATGTTGTTTCTGAAGGGATTTGGGTTTGAATAAAATAGCATTATCTTGTTTTTTTGGAATTTGAAAGCAATTCTAGTGATTACAATTGATATTGAATTAAGTCGATCGTGTTGGAGATTGTTTGACTTCGTTTGTAGATGTACCCGATACTAGCAGGACAGTGTCATCAGCAAAGATATTTAATTCTGAGTGATTTAAGTTTAGTCCAAGATTGTTTAAATATAAGAACAGAACTGGATCCAACACGGAACCTTGTGAAACACCCTTTGTTATTTTAATATTTGTGGATGGTTGACGTACGGTGTGAAAAAAGTTCAACGCTCATACTCTGCCCCTTTTGGCAACGTTCTGAGAGGTAACTCCGAAGCCATTTGATTGTACTGTCAGTGTGGTTTACCTGGTAAAATAAAATGTGTTCATTTTATAAAATACAAGAAATGTATTTTTTATATTTTATTAGTGATTTGCTTACCTTTCGTATATTTTCCACACTTATTGTCTTTTGTTTTATATTCATAATAAAGGTTTTTGGGTTAGATCGCGTTTATTTATAAATGTGTCGTAACCCTCCACCACCCGACACGGCCAATCAGCAAAAAAAGTGTCACGTTGACAAAAGACAAATAATGGTCGCAAAAGCCTACGTGTTAAACTTGTTTTATATAGTTGGTTGTTATAATGTTCTGACCCGCCCCTACTGGACGTCTATTAAAAAGAGCTTTAGAGCTCATCGGATTCCTCCAAAATAAATGATTCTGAAAAATGTTCTTGACCACGAGTCGGTACGCCCACCTCTTCCAACGCGCCTGGTCACCGTGGGAAGAGTAGACCAAATACACTCTCCAGCTCGCTTAGTGGAGGCGTTTCCGCCGGAAGAAGCGTGAACAAGCACTTGCAGGGCAGCACCTTGAGCTTGATCGTTTTTTTGCTGCCACAACAAGGGCGCGTGACCATTGCAACGTGGGACTTGTATTGTCGTGTCGTCATCGTGTACGGCGGGGTTGGTGACGTTGGGGAAGCGCATGTGGAGCTATGACGTAATGTGGTTGGGAAGTCAGCTGCGTCACGGGGAGGGATCTCGTGCAGATGCCGCACATCGAGCACGTGTTCCCCACGTGGTGAGGCTACCCCGAGCCGGCAGCTTGTGACTGACTGGGTTCCAGTCCGGGTTCAGTCACCGTTGTATGATTAAACGGGTTTTTTTTAGTTGATACTGCGTTGAAAATTATGCATCTCCCGGGCATCTGTGAAAGGTAGCGCCGAAGCTCATTGGATACCTCCAGGATAAAGATTCTGCATGAGCACATGCAAACGCAGCGATATGTTGTGAACGGCCATTTCCCGAAACTTAAATGGGTACACCGCAGTTATTTGGCAGGTGGCACGTGGTGGGGTAAAGTGTGGGTAAACGTATGGAAAAACGTGGATTTCTAATAATCAGTCGCATTAGGAAATCATGTAAAAGAGTAACGTTTATTGTTATAGGCCCGTTTGAAAAAAAATGTATGGGCCTTGGGGGCCGTCCATAAATGACGTCACGCACCTAGGGCGGGGGGGGGGTCAGACATTTGTGACGAGGGGGGGAGGGGTTTGAGAAATGTGACGTCACATCAAAATGCGCAACTTTAAGTAGAGACAACACGTTCTACTTAATTAAATATACTTTTTAATGTTTTCTCCTACAACATCAGAGTGCAGCGCCACATTAAATACGCACTACAATGACAACAGTTTAAAGCGATTTGAAGCATGTTTTATTTTCAAAATGGAAATATGGTTTTTTGGGGGGGGGGGGCAGATTTTTGTGACGTCATATTTGAGGGGGGTCTGACTTTTTGTGACGCCGTGTGACGAGGGGGGGGGGGTCCAAAATCGTCCATAATCGCGTGACGTCATTTATGGACGGCCCCTTGTCAAAAATATTCATCTACGTATTGTATATACTGTAATTTTACCTTTCTTTTACATTCACTTATTTCCAGCTCCTTGTCAATCTGCATCTGGGGGTTGTTTTACCATACGTACGGGTCAGAATCAAAATATGTATTTATCCTGAAGAAATCCGATGTGCTATGAAGCTCTTTTTCACACGTCCAAGGTCGATAGAGGCGTGGCGAAGACCCGGCGACCACCCACCACTGACGTTAGCGTGCTCAGGAATCTTTGTGCAGAGCCAGTTAAGAACCACTGCGCCACCGCTCATGCCAACAATACTTTATTAAATGTCTACGAATGGAAGTTAATTGGTTCCCGAAGTGGCGCTCTCCACCCGCCAGGCGCTCACCCCGCCCCTCGTCTCCTGCCCTCCCCCCGCCTCCTCACGTAACCCCACCCCCTTTAGGCCACGCCCCCTCCCCACTTACCCCGCTGCGCCCTCACCCCCCCCTTCGCCCCACTGCTATTGCCCCTCCATTCAGCCCCCTCCGCTTTCTCGCCTCTCCCACCTTATATAACCCCCTCCCCGCCCATTGCTATTGGGGGGCACATCTTATATCGGCTTCCTTTCATTACACGCTCCCCCCCCCCCCCAACTGTTTCTTCTTCCGTATGGCAGATGTTAGATGCAGGGCAACAAGGACAAGTTGAGGTGGCCAAGCCAGACACGGAGAGCCGCGTGTGGGGAAGTGAAGCGGAGCGAAGCGCCGTCGACGGCTCCTGGCGCGTGTGCAGCAGATGGGGGGCGGGGGGCATTGCGTCGTGACAACGTTCAACTCGCTCCACCCCGCCCCCCTAACCCCCCTCGGCCACGCCCCGCCCACTTCGCCCGTAGCCCCGCCTCCAGGAGGGGGGAGTGAGGGGGAGATTTGTGAGTGGGGGGGGGGATTTGTGAGTGAGGGGGGATTTGTGAGGGGGGGGGGATTTGTGAGGGGGGGATTTGTGAGGGGGGGGGGATTTGTGAGGGGGGGGGGATTTGTGGGAGGGGGATTTGTGGGGGGGGATTTGTGAGGGGGGGGGGGAATTTGTGAGTGAGGGGGGGGGATTTGCGGGTGGTGGGGATTTGTGGGTGGGGGGGGTGTGAAGATCACGTGATGCGTGGCGAGGGTCGGGGCCGCGCGCGCGCGCGTGCTGAGTGGTGGCGCGGATGCAGAGCGAAGCGAGCGAGGAGCGGGCAGCAGCAGCAGCAGCGGTCGGGGGCTGCGCGTCCCCCCCCTTCACAAACAACAGCAGCAACCACGTCGGTCAAAACACAACACGAACAACAACAATACAGCAATGCCGCTGCCCACGTGAGGGATGTGCCCGTCCGTGGCCGAGACGCGGAGGTGAAGCGGTATTGGGGCTGCTGCGGGTTCTTTACGTGCGGCGTCTCTCTCAGGTGAGTGAGTGAGCGAGCGAGACGGGTTGCGAGTGAGCCCCCAGCTGCTCCTGCTGCTGGTGGGTGGGTTGTTGTTAGTGTTCTTGTTGTGTTTGTTGTTGTTGTTGTGATCTCCCGAGTTGGCCGCATCGGTGCGAGTGGAGGGGAGCCGCGCGCCGATCGCCTCTCGCCGAGTTTAGATTCCCTAGCGCGCATCGGAGTTGCCCGCGAGCGGCGATCGCGCGAGTGCGCGCGCCCTCTCTCTATCACGTGGCGCATTCCTCGGCCAATCGCAGCGCGAGCTCCAGCCCGCCCCGCGGCCTATGCGCGCTACCAAATCTGAGGCGCGTTGCGTGGCCCTTTAAACTGCCCCTCCCCCCCACCCCTGTGTCCCTTTAAGAGGGGCCCGAGGCGCCTTTAAAGCGGAGCTCCTTTAAAGCGGAGCGCGTTCACCAACGCACCGTATCCGCGTGCACACACAGTCTTGTGAGAGCAACGCAATCTTGTGATCGTGTCTAAACCCACACCCCCGTGTTCCTTTAAGCGGTGCCTGAGGCGCCTTTAAAGCGGAGCGCCTTTAAAGCGGAGCGTGTTCACCAACGCAGCAGCGCATCCGCGTACACAAGCACACTCCATGGCAAGCAAAGAGCAACGCAAGCTTGTGATCGTGTCTAAACCCCCGCCCCCGCGTGTGAAGTTAACGCGTCTTGTGCAAGCATCTAAAGCGGAGGCTGTGAGACACGACGGGGTGCTTGCTGGGTGTTGTGGTCTTGGCTGAACACCGCCGGGGAGTTGTCGGCAATGTTTTTGGCGCGCGTATTCCTTTTTCATTCATTCGCGGCGCCGATTTTCGATTTGCAATTAATGGTTGCAACTTGAACAGGAGCGGTGTGAGCTTTGAAACTGGCGCCGGGGACCCGACCCACGTCTCAAGAACGCGTCTCGAGCGAGTGCGCCGTGACACTGCGGGGGTTAAGAGCGTGGAGTGGTTTTCTTGGCTTGTTTTTGATTTCTCATTCAGCTGCCGCCGCCGCTGCTGCGAGTGCGGATTTCACTGCGGCCACTCGAGTTATGTAAGTTTATTTTGAATTAACATGTTTAAAAAAATTACATTTTGACGCTATCTCTACGAACCGCGCGGGGTGAGCAGAGGATCCGCCGTCCGTGGTCGCTCCGCGTTGTGTCGTAGTTTCAGAAACGCAGCACTGTATTATTGTGTGTATACTGCCGTGCCCCGTGGCGTACTCTCTGTTGAGGTGAACAGCTGATCGCTGTCTGGCTATTGCCCGTCGTAACCTGCTCAGTGGCACCAAGCTCCCTGTTGTGGATGCGTGCGGTTCGTGTTTTTGAGTAACAGAGTCGTTGCTCGTTTGGGGGTGCTGGGGGCGATTTCGAGAGGGGTTTTCGTGCTCGCGACTGAGCCGGCTCGTGGCGACCCGCTGGGGGTGGCTCCAAGCCAGCAGTGGCGAGATCATGGCTGATTATAATCATCACGAGCACATTGCTAGGAGCTTGCGTAGTCGATAGCAGCGCCGCGTCAATTAACGCGTCTCATTTCCGAGTCCCGGGGTTTTGGGGAATTTTGATTTGATTTGAGGATGCAGTGTGTTTGAGGGGAGCGGTGGCGCAGTGCTTAGCGAACTGCGCTATGAACCAAAGGGGCTCCGAGTAAAAATTTCCCGGCCGCGGCGAACCTCGGTGACGAGTGGTGGTGATGTCTCAAAAACGGTCCTGGGTTCCCCCTTACCCCTATTCAACCAAGTCGCGTTGCTCATCGTGATGATAGTATTGTCAAATAAACCACGACTAACACGGCATAGGGATGCCTTCATCCAGCAGCGGATTTACACGGGCCCGCACGTCAACGATGCGATGTGGGTTGCTTGGAGCCAGTCCGGCCTGCGTGGTTATTAATGACCCCACCGTGTGTGGTGGTGGTGGGCGCTTGATGCAATTCCTCACGCGCCCTTCGCGGACAGGTTGTGCGTGAAGTGAGGCCGTGATTTGATGGCGCGCTGCAGTGTGTGTGTGTTGGGACTGGGTTTAATTAGCGTGAGAAAAGAGAGCGATCGGCTGTGGTGTTGCTTGTTTCTTGCGTTTTAAACGAGACGAACCGAACCACTCTAATCCTTACAACTTACATCCCCGCTCCCACGTCTTAAGTAATCTAAGCGTGACACTCCTAATGCCCCTGGCATGTTCCTTGAACACAGTCATCTTAGCCCCAACCCCTATTCTTAGCCACCAGCGCCTGGCCATAATGGCAACACTGTAACCATGAAGCCTCGTCATAATACCCACCATCACATAACGCTCAATCATAACACCCCCACCTTGCTCCACCAACACGCACCATAGCCTAGCACAGATCCTAAATCATAACATTCATTCACATGGCCCAAAGGTACATCCGTCTATCTCACACGCAACCCTTTAACTGCCTTAATAGAGTTAAAGGTTCAACTTTATTGTATTTTATGTGGTCTGGACGGGTTTGTGCTTCTGACGCAGTTATCAGACTGGCGTTGCGGTTTATTATCAAAACAGCTGTGGGGAAATTGCCTTGGGATACACACGAGGCGACCGCTTTGACCGTGTTACGTCGTAGGGTGCGATCAGAGGAAGACTTGGACAAATTCTTTATCAACCTTTGTACACTTCCCCCCCCCCCCAGGGGACGCCACTTTGGCCATGCCCTTGAGAGAGAAAGACGCGGTTTGATTACGGCGGCGCACTTCGTGTTGAACCGCGGGAGTGCGCCCCACTGTGTCCCGTGTTGCGAATGTCGCACCATTAAACCACTGCGTTCGTAATCGACCACAAGAGAGTTTTGCCACCCGAGTGCTCGCAGTCTTGGTCACGTCTCTCGCTAGAGCGGAACCGCGCATCGGCCGCGCTTCTTTAGATCGTCAAATTGTATTATGATGGCAAACGGCCGTGCGATTTGTCCGCCAAGTTTTGGGGTTCGGAGTTTGCGTCAGGGGTAAGGGAAAAATTGTTATTGCTGCGCACTCATTGGTACAGTCACAATGCCACAACTGGCAGCAGCCCAGTGTCCCTGGCGTGACGCCAGTAGCATAGTCACCCATACAGTAACAATCGCCCCTGCTGAGAGCTCGTACACAAGATCCCTCTGTGCCCTGTCCCAGCAGAAATTGCAGTGGCAGTGACTTATTCTGTTTTCATCAATTCAGTTAAATTCCCCTTTCTTAAGCCTCCTGTGAGCTCATAGACATTCATGATTTATTGTGCAAGGGAGACCAGGGTGGCAGTATTTACGCATTTACAGCCGTCCATATTTTTGTAGTTTAGTTGTAGGTATTTTGCAGTTGGCAGAGGTGCGTAATAGCTTAATCATGCAAACGGCATACCATCTGTAATGTCCATATTTCAGGCGAGCGCTTGGTGTGCTTTGGTAATTACCTGGCAAAGGTAAAACTGGCTCCATCGGCGGTATTGAACCAGACACACTGCAATGGCCAAGTGATGAACACACGGAATGGTTTGGAACCCGGCCACGTGATCCAAAGCGGTCCGTTTTGATGTTGTAAGATCCACTACCGAATTTTTCGTCTCCACAGCCACAGGGAGCCCGGTCGCTACTAGCCCAGGAGCGGCACCAGGGCCTAGTCTGCATCCCCATGCTCCACGAGCCACAGGGCTATGTGAGCTCGACCCCACTTGCCCAGTCTCTTCCCTCCATCCCTTTACCTTTTTCAGCCAGGGCTGAGGGTCAGGAAGCAATCGTTAAAATACATATATTGCTTTTATAAGGAGGTGTGGGCTCGGTTTTACTTTCAAGTTTAATATTTACTTTTTATAATTTTCCTCCACGTGTTTTGATTTCTGCTGGGAAGTTAAACCGAACGTGCGGCGTTATTGTGCGTGTATCGCGTCCACTTGGACCCTGGTGACATCACGACAGCCTCCATTTTCGGCCCAGATCCTTGCCCCATGGCTGGAGTTGAGTTAAGAACCAACCTGATACGGGACTCGCTGGGACCAGATCTGCCCAGGAGAGCCAGCAGGGGAACATGGGGCTAGGCAATCCAACCAGGAGCCAGCATCTTATCAGCCCAGCTCCCTCTGTCCATAGCAACGGGGCATCGTCTTCCCACTCAAGCTATGCTGGCCCAGAGCCAAGACTGTCCCTCGTCCTCCCTGGGTGGCCCCATCCCTTTCCATTGCCCCCACTTTCTTCTCTCTCCTTTCTTCTCATACCCCTGTGACCTAGTGAATCAAGCCTGGGATTTGCACACCTACATTGAGCATGAATACCAATCGTGGTGGTACTTGGGACATGGGTAAAATCGATGTTTTTCAAAACGCTATGTCAAAATAAATGTATGGTAGGGCTGCCTAGATCCCTCTGCGGTTTCAGTACGAATGCAAATAAAGTATGTGTACGCTGTTGTGTTTTAAAATTGCACGATTGCACAGTTTTCAAAAAGGACACCGTTCACAAAACCATTGAGACAATCCCACTCGCTGGCGTTAAGCATAACACTATGCATAATTAAAGTCAGCAAAATGACGCACAGCCTTGCTGCGTTACGCCTGCTCGCCGCGCAGTGGCTTCCAATTCATTTGCTCCATTAATTTACAAAATAAATGCGGTGCCGTATCGCTGCCGAAAATAAATGCATCTGTTTTTTTCCCCCCCCTGCGGTCGGCGAGCAATGCGTAATGATAACTCCTCTGCAAATTTAGTTTTTTGCTGCTCGGAATAAAACCACGCGCCTATGGTTTTCTTCGCGTTTTACTCGAGTGTGGTTGTAAGTCTATTAAAGGGAACGACAACAAAGGGGCGGGCGGGCGGTGCTCTGTTTTAAGCTGCGCAAACGTCTCCAGTAAATGTCCTCTGTTTAACTAGCCGTGTCCGTAGCCATTAGCGCTCCGCGGAGTCGCTAACTACCGTTTAACTAAATGGCCTCCGCCTCGCGGAGAACGGAGGGGCGACCACCCCGCTGACTTTGTTTTCACATTTAGCCGTCCCGGTGAAATTCCGGTAGTTCTAAAAAGGGGCCAATGTCCAAAAGTGTTGGGTTTTCATCTCTCGAACGAGTATTCTGGCAGTTTAACTTTGAATTGACATTGGACGTGCGTACATGTGTGTGTCTGTGAGCTTCATCGGCCAGCGCAGCCAGTGCTGTGTCAGATGCACATTGGTAGGTCGCTCGTCACAATTATTTAAAACTGTCACTTTCGTTACATAAACTGTGCACTGTGTTTGTGGCTAAGTTGGGTAACTGTAGCAACGATCCATATGCCCTTTGTTGTCAAAATTTTAAACTGTGAATCCTTTCCTGGCCACAATCAGAGGTCCCCCCCCCCCTCCAACATCTTCGACATCAGCACATTTGTAGGTGATGTTCGTGTTTGACGGGGGGAGTCTTAAATGGCCTCGTAAAATTAAAAACAAAACTATTCCCTGCCTAATGCAAAGCCGGTGCTCGTTTATCAGTCGTGTGCTGCTTTCTGCTTGGAGGTATTCGATGCACAGTGATGAGTTTGTGCATTCACTTCGCAGTTAGGAGATCAACTGGGCTCGTTATCCATCTGGAATCGACAAATTGAGTCTCACTTGGTGAGAAATCAAAAGTGGTCGTTGCGTGGATAGACTGACCGAACACCCCGAGTATGTGTACATTTCCACCACTGGCTTGAAGCCAGCAACAGAGATGTACACCACTCGAAGCTTCATTTTTCTAGAGGGGGAACGCTTGGAATTGACATGAGCCATCCCGGAGCTTGCGGTGGTCTTGATGTCTGTCACGTTGCTGAGATGTGAATTACCTTATGTGGTTGCAAGTCGAGTGAAACGTGATGTTGACTACATTGACCTTTTCACTGTCAAGTCTAGCCAAAGTCAAAGTGTGTCCTGGCTCAAATTAGTGTGATGTGGACCTTCATGTCCCTTGGCAGCCCTGAGTCAGCGGTGGAAATTCCACAATCCTATGGCAGAGGCCAGAATCTTTGGCGGTGCACCACTTTTGTTCGCTGTCAGCGGTGGATCGAGCGGACGAGGGCTTACAGATCCATGTGTGATCGTGTTTCGCCGAGCTGATGGCCA